TGGCATTCACATACAATCATCAGGATAACAATCTGTTCCCAAGCTGCTGGTTTTTTTATTTCCTCTGTAGAGGCAGTTTTCAGCCAGTGCAGTTTCCTGACCCAGGTGGCTGCTCAAAAGTAGAAATGTGAATGCCAACAGAAGGAAGGGAGGACAAGTGTCATTGTCCCCTTCCACAGCAGCATGGGTTTAGGCTGCCTGACTGATCACCGTGGTACGGCAGCGCTCCCAGGCCAAGGGAAAGCACTGCTGAGACAAGCTTGGGGCATGTTATTTAGATTTCCATAAGCACTAGTGATTTTTGTTGCTGTTTCTAAGCATCAGCTGAGGCTCTGGTGTAACCAGCCTCTAGCACTAGCATCCCAGCATGTCCCTACCATACTAGGAAGGAAAAGACTAAAACAACAAATTCTGGCCTTAAAACCTTTTAAAGGTTGAAGTACAAATCAAAGTTCAGGCAGTTATTTCTGCTAAACAAACAGCACTGTGGTTGCTGGGCACTATCTACATGAAATCACCAACTACTACCCTCCAAGCATCTCGAAATCTAAGAAGCTGCTTTAGATCCCCCAGCATCTGAAAAGCTTTCTGAACTAAACAATGCAAATCACGGATTTATGACTCCATCGCAATTTCACAGCTCCTTAAAAGAGAGAATCACAGGAAGCTCAAACCACTCAGCATTCGGTAAGTACAAAACTCAATCTCCTAAAATTCAGCTTAAGAACCAGTTTGACTTTTCAGTTCTTCACTCAGCTTGAGCAAAGCCAACCACTTGGACCGTGCATCCCCGCACGCCAAGGCCACGCCACGAACATTTGACTAAAAATGCCGAAAACTAGCTTCTGGAAAAACAAACCAAACAAAAAAATTGCTCGTTACGATTAGTGGGAGGAGCCAGTCATAACTTTGGCAACGGAAAACTCGGGCTGTTGAGTACTTTGTTCCATTACAGCATTACCTGGCACAAACGGCAAATCCACCACCTCCCGTTACAATCGCTACACTGCTTTTATGACAAAACAGAGAATTTTTCTCCTTCAAAGTACCGAGTAATCAACTTCTCCTGGTTTATTATTCATTATCACTTAATTGTAGATTATGCAGCAAAAATTCTTACTTGACTTTAAAACTTCAGAGATCCTCCCTCACGTTTCTGTCAAATATTGGGCAATAATCTGATTTCCCTGCAAATCAGCATTAAAATTCCAAAGACCATGTTCTACCCTCTGCTGTATCCCTCTCCTAGAAGAGCGAATCGGAGGGAAAACACGGCCCACAGTTCTGGCTGAGATTTCTACTGTTGCACAAGCCACAGCGCAGTAGGCACTCAAGACTAACAGGAATTATTAGGAAAAGAATAAACCATTCTGCACAAAGGTCAACAGGGAAAGTACCTGTTGGACAAGAAGGTCTCTTTTTTACACAGCTGCTTTCCCAAACAGAACCACACTGGGAAGAAGAAAAGGGACCGAATATCTGTTGTCTCATGTTCACAGACAAGCGTGAGCCGAGTTCTTCCCTGCTGAGGTACAGAACTAAAAGAGGGAACAGTTCTTCACTAGAGCCCTTAAAGGAGAAAAGGTCACTAACTTCTCACCCATTTTCAAACATATTACATAGGCAACTGATACTCAGATAGGTGAGCCTCATACCACAGACTGGTTTGGGTGGGAAGGGACCTTAAAGCCCACCCAGCCCCACCCCCTGCCATGGGCAGGGACACCTTCCACCAGACCAGGTTGCTCCAAGCCTCATCCAGCCTGGCCTTGGACCCTTCCAGGGATGGGGCATCCACAGCTTCTCTGGGCAACCTGTCCCCGTGCTCCCCACCCTCTGCGGGAAGAATTCGTTCCTGATGTCCCATCTCCATCTCCCTCTTTCCATTTAAACCCGTTATCCCTTGTCCTGTCACTCCCTACCCTTGGAAAAAGTCCCCCCCAGCTTCCTTGTAGCCCCCCAGGCACTGGAAGGGGCTCTAAGGTCTCCCCGGAGCTTCCCTTCTCCAGGCTGAATCCCCCAACTCTCCCAGCCTGTCCCCATGGCAGAGGGGCTCCAGCCCTCGGAGCATCTCCGTGGCCTTCTCTGGACTCGCTCCAACAGCTCCCTGTCCTTCTGATGTTGGGGGTCCCAGAGCTGGAGGGAGGGTCTCCCCAGGACAAGTAAGTAAGTAACTAAATCTAAAATGATATGGGACTGTATTTCTGTTGGTTCACAGGACTGTATTTCGTACTGGTTTTGAACCAGTTATACAATTACCATGCAAAAGCTGGGCACAATAGCAGCATTACTAAGACCGACTTGATCCCTCTCAACAGGTGCCAGCAAACACTCTGCCAAACTCATGCCATTTTACATCCAAAGCCATTATACTGGTTGGCAGTTTACCAAACAAAGATATGTTTTAACTCTGTGAAGCCAGAGTATAATTATAGTAAACAGGCAACAAAACTGTGCCTCGAACATGTAGGATTCCACAGCTTGAGAGGCGAGTGCTTATGCTATAGCCAGAGTGCTGTACTCCTATCCCTCTGTGACCTGACCATCACACTCAAGGCCGTCTGAAAAATCACAAGGAATTTAAGTCACAGAAACTCAGTTCTAGTGTACTTGGGCTTAAGTGTCCATTAAGCTCTACTCTTAATGCTCTGAAGTTACAAGGAGAGTATAGCACTGTTAAAGAACAGAAAAACAGACCCCTATGAGAGGGAAATCGGCTCTGAAAACAACAAAGACAACACATTAAAATACAGATCCTATTTTATGTACTTTTCCTGATTTGACTGGGAAGAGGCTTTGTTCCTAGGGACTTTTTCCATTTGTTTTCACTTTCCCAATGACAAAATAAAAAATTAATAGGTGGTTTGGCCTGGCGGTCGGTGGAACCGACTCCAGCCACACTCTGCTATTACTACCACTCTCGTTATCGCTTCATTACTCAGTATAAGGAAGAGCTCCAGGAGCGCTTCCACGCGCACCCCGTCAACCACAGATCCCTACCGGCAGCGTGTGGAAGGCAGGCAGGAACGGAGCGCCAGGGTACAACCCGGCAGCCCGGATCGAGCACGTAGGAAACGGCGCTCCACTCTTTCACTATCAAAACTCGGTGGCCAGACTCCAAACTCTTTGGTTGTGTTCTTCTCTGCCGCCCTCTCTCGCACCGACAGCGCTTCCTGCAGTGAGCTCTACTTTTCCGCAGCACGCCCACCGGAACGTTATTTCCTTAGGACAGTTCCCCATCCACCTAAGCACCGCTCAGCTGCTCTCAAGAAGCTGTCTGGATTCTTTAACGCTTCACTAGAAATCAGAAAAGTTAAACCAATTTAAAAGCAAAGACTCACTTGTCACATGCAAATCCATTAGCCATGGGATAACGTCACTGGAGCAAGAATTGAAACTGTCCCTACCAAATCCAGTCCAGAAAATTAAGACTTCTCCTCTTCTTTAGGTGTGGACAAACACAGCCCTTCCCTCCAACTTTATTCAGCTGTTGCATAAGCATCTTAGAGAAGTCTAAGCCTAATCAGAGGAACACCTTTCTCCTGTCCATCATCAAGATAACTCCTTTAATTCACAACCATGGTTTTAACCAAGTGCTCCGTGACACCACTGCAGCATTTTCCTTATGGAATGGGAAGCTCCGGAGTCTTTTGCGACCTGCAGGACTTAAGACACAGTCGTACCCAGTGGGCCAAATAGGTACCGTGCTTGAAATAGCAACGGCTCCACAAAAAACACAACGGAAAGGCTTTGCACGCTGCTAGACCATCGCTCTGTTTCAAGGAGCTTCTTTTCCACACCTCAATCGTTTCATGCTTCAATCGTTAAAACTTCTTTTGTGCCTGCTAAATCTGCTCAAACTGTAATTGGGGTCAACTACTACAACTGTGTGTTACGAACCAGTGCTGCTTCTTCGATTTCTCCAGTAACTTCCGGCTTGCCACTGAACTGGATCCCAACCACTGTCTCCTCCACACAATCACCTCTTTCCATGTTCCATCCCGCCACGTGTCAATTCAGCATCTTCTCTACTTTTTCAAATCCTCCTCAATAGGAATTTCCTACTTAGATGCCATTATTGACGCATTCCTTAGCCAAGGCCTTGCCGCAGATTTTGTCAATATGGCAAAGTCCATAGGTACAGATCATGTTTATACCAGATTACTGTGTAAGAAGATAAGTAATAATGTAAAAACCAGTCAAACATCCTTTTGCCTAGGGCACTCAGGCATGACAGAGTAAAACGTAGATTCCATGGAAGCTTGGGGCACTTTTTTAAAACATAATGCAAATGAGGAGAAGATAGTCAAGGTTCTGCGTCCAGCTGTGGAACCCCCAACATCGGAAGGATATAAACCAGTTGGAGCGAGTCCAGAGGAGGCCACAAAGACGCTCCAAGGGCTGGAGCCCCTCTCTTATGACGAAAGGCTGCAAGAACTGGGCCTGTTCAGCCTGGAGAAGAGGAGGCTCCGAGGAGACCTCATTGCAGCTTTCCAGTATCTGAAGGGGGCCTACAAGGGTGCTGGGAGAGGACTTTTTACAAGAGCCTGTAGTGACAGGACAAGGGCTAACGGGTACAAATTGGAAACAGGGAGGTTTAGATTAGATATCAGGAAGAAATTCTTCCCGCAGAGGGTGGGGAGGCACTGGGACAGGTTGCCCAGGGAAGTTGTGGATGCCCCATCCCTGGGAGTGTCCAAGGCCAGGCTGGGAGGGGGTTGGCGGCACCCGGGCT